TCTAATCACTGTAAAGAATTCTCATCACAACATACCAAGGTTTCTTAAGTAATAGGTATGTTCATTGTTTCCCCTATAGGGGGTTCCTTTGTTTTTAGTTGGGTTTGGTTTGGGATTTTGCTCATATTCATAAGATGTTTTTAGTGAAAGAAAATTTGTGATCAGATGTTGTGTATGTATTTATACTTTCATTTTCATCCATCTCTATCATGTTTAATCCTCTCTCCTTATGCTTCTGCAAACAGTCTCAGTATGTTTGGATCTCTGTCTTACTCATTCTATCCCCATTGCCTAAAGTTTGGGTCCTAAGCCAGTGTTGATAGATGGCTAATTCTGAAAGTATTCATATTACTCACATTGGACTACTTTGCTTATACCCACTGAGTCTTTTAGACTGAGCAAACTTATCAACAGCCTCCCCAGAAACCTGCTATGAAGTTGTTGATAGTAGCCTCATAAGATCATAATGATATATTTTAATCACCAAATGAATAGAAATTTTTGGCCATTCCTTGGTTTTATCCTTCTAGGTATGTTACACTGTAATCAGAGAAAGTGGCCTATATTCTTTTTTTATTTGGGAACTTACTGAGTTTTTTGTGACCTAATAATATATTTAATTGTTACAAAGTTTCTATAGTTATTTAATGTAAATTCCCATGTGTTTTTCCAGTATTGTGTGTAGAAAGTGCTACTATGTATCTGTTGAATCTAGCTTGTGAATTATGGCCTACAGAGTCATACACGAGAGGATTTTCAGGTCACCTCTAAACTCAGCTCTGTCCACTCACTCCTCTCATTCATCTACTTTCTGCTCAGCTTGTTCCAATCTGCCTTTGCACTTACTTTTTCTTCTGTTTGAAGGTTTTTATCCCCTGATTGTCTCTCAAATATTTCTTTAGTGAGGCTTTTCCTCATTATCCCAACTAACGTAGGACCCCTCCCATGCTACCTTTTATGCCATTACCCTGTTTTGTTTTACTCATGGCACCTGAAATTGCCTGATTTGTTTATGAGTTTATGGTTGTCTTTCTCTCTCACAAAAATGTCAGCTCTTTGATTGTAAAGACCCTGTTATGTTTATTGCACACTGTTATGTTTATTGCTATTTCCTGGTGCCCCCCTGCCCCCACTCCAAAATGCATTTAGGTACAAAATTGAAATCTGTTGACTGACTAATGAAATGGCAAAATCCTCTCTGACCTTACTTAAAATACTATCCTTGCTCCTCTGTAAGGAGTATTTTGTTTCTTTGTTTGTTTACTCCCTTTTCTGACTGTTGTTATTTATTTTATTCTTGAATCCTTTCTAGTAATAATGAATATCAAATTGGAACATACTTTGTCCCCTTTTTCTTTGTGAAAGCAGATTTATAAAATACTCGCTAAAAATAAGTGAATGAACAATAATTTAACAAAATATGATTTCCAAGGCTTATTGAGTTGTTTTCTGGATAATATCATCTAAAGGTAAAATTTTTTGAATTAAATTCAAAACCATATTTTGAAAATTCACTTATTTATCTTCTTTATTTTCTTATTTTTTATTTTCTTATTTTTTTCTTCTATAAATTTAGCTAATTTGTACATTTTTTATAATGTTTACAAATCCGTTGATTTATAAGTTTAATGGAGCAAATGGCTCTGTTTCTTTAACCATTCTGTAACTCTGCCAGACAAATGTTTATGTTGATTCAGTACACGATAAACTCAGTTTAGGGTTTTTTGCCAGGGAGGTTGTTTTTATATCCAGATAAATACCTTTAATTTGAAAGGAAGGTTGATTTACAAGTTGTAGTTCTTATTCTTTTACAAAAGTGGTAAGAATCCTCTAAGGAGCTACATATATCTCATAGGTAGTATTTTATTCAGTCCTCAGATAGGCCCAGATATAACCTCTAAACTCATCTCTAAACTTACAGAAAGAGTTTGGAAGTTACAGGGCCACAATTTCTCTTATGCTTATAAGAAACATTTGTGTCAGGGAGTATACCCCGGCATTTGGATTTTCCCAACCTGTATGTGCATTGTATTACAGTATGCAAGGAGAAATCTGTCATTGGGAATTGCTCGCTTAGGTGCAGTAAACTTGAGGATACCAGCATAATGCAAGCAGGTTTTGACCAAAGAAAGAAACAGGAAACTGAAGAAATAATTAAAATATTTATCCAGATGTCTTTCCGTGAACCCCTTTATTTTACTTATGATAACAAGAAAGTGAGAATGACATATATTCCTAGATTTAAAAAAATAATAATGTTGTATAACCTTTTGTTAAGGTTAGAAATCTTTTTATATGCATCCTCTCATGGGTTGATTAGCTTGCCAAATTCATTCTAAGTCATGTGCACTTTTTAAAATCATCAGAGGTTTTCAAACTGTTTTTCAGGTAAGAAACCATTTTCTAAATCGGACTTTTATTTAGAAGTGAAGTATACAAAATATGAAAGCAGAAGGGATATGAGAACACAGACAGAAGGACTGTTGTAGGGACATGGGGCTGCAGAATGCCACCCAGTATTTCTGCAGAACCCCTAGGGCTTAGGTGTGAATGGTCCTTTACAGTATCATGCTAATGATATAAGTTATTCCCCTTAGGAACATTTTGTATCCTAATTCAAAATGGGAAGTTTGCATGTGATTAAAATGATTCTTTCTTTTGGCAAATACTAACATCCTGTATTGCTAATGTAGAGAATTTGAATAATGAAATTAATATGGTAAAGTGATCAAACATGTAGAACTGTATATATTATGAATAGATAAATCTCACATCTCCATGGGACATTTTCTCAAAGCAGAAATTGAACAGATTATTCTTTATAGAATACAATAGAAATTTAGAAATAACTTTTATATGATAAAATTATATATACTCATCTATATAGACGTATATGCATATATATGCACACGTACATACATACATACGTTCTATACTTTTATATCTGCTAAAATGAAGATTGAAAACTTAACCAATTGAAAGATAAATCTCCTGCCACTTAGAGGTCAGTTAAGTGATGATGGAAGGAAGGGAGAGCAAGGTATATATTCTTATATACTCAGAATTATAATTCAGAGTAAGAATATACTCTAAAATGAAATAGGAATGGAGGGACCATAAATAAGTTAATTATTAAATGTTAATTGTTAGACTGTTTTAAATAGACGATTCTAACAAAAACAAATGGAAAAAAATAATGAAGCTGAAAAAATAAAATTAATTATGAAATAGGAACACAAAAGAATTTTTTTTTAAAGTAAAATAGTTTTTTAAAAAAAACCTAAGTAAAATAAAGAAACCTCACAAGTCTAATCACAAGTAGAAAACCAATGAATAAATAAAATTAGAAATGATGAAGACTTTTTACAGAATGTTTAGAAAGTTAAAAAGATGACAGTGCTATAAACTATCATGAGTTAGACCTGAAAACATAATTGAGAGAGAACTGGACACTGCCGAGTGCTTATGAGCAGTTAAATGGACAAACTCCTTGGCATGTGAGCTCTTTCATGGTCGTTTCTGTATTTCTAACCAGATCTTCTCTCACCTCCCTTCTCCAGTTCATACCACTAGTTCTTTCTAAGTGCAGCACCTTAAATTCACCGTCCTTTCTGGCCTCCCTGCCTGTCTGTTATTCTCTCAGATTAGAATGCCAGCAACTATTACCTGTACTCAGCATGCCTTCCCTGACTTACCTGGGTTTAATTAGTGATCTCTCTCCATTATTCTCACAGTTTTTAGAAAGTGCTGCTATTAATAGGACACATCACAATGTTTGCTGTCATTATTACACATAGACTCTAAGCTCCTGCTCTCTTGGCACTGTGCCTGTCATTAAGAGCTTAGTAGATAGTTGGTGAACAAATTAAATCAACATTATCAACAGTGCTCAGAAACAAAATGAGAGTATTACACTACACCAATGAACACAAAAAATGTGGCTCAAAACATTTTTTGAGAAGTTTGTAAATTTTTCCCAAGTTTTGGCTGTTATTCCATGCAATCAAACTTCCCGTTTTAATATAAAATTATCTTAATATAAAGTGCTTAATGATAATTTGTTAAGCCAATTTGAAAACTTTTCCTCTGTGATGATATAAAGTTGTGTTTGTTTCTCAGAAATTCATCTGCTTTACTGATACGCTCAACTGTATGTTACTATGACATAGTAAAAGGAATACTACATAATAGCTAAAGAATTATGGACTAAGTAAGCAATCTGTACTTAGGGAAGGAAGATGCTGATTTTATAAATGAGTCTTCAAGAATTTTTTTAAAAGGTCCATGGAGAAGCACCTGGGTGGCTGAGTCAGTTAGGTGTCTGACTCTTGATTTTGGCTCAGGTCATGATCTCCAGGTTGTGAAATGGAGCCTTGCATCATGCTCCTCACTGGGCATGGATCCTGCTTAAGATTCTCTCTCCCTTTGCCTCTGCCCCTCCCTCTTCTAAAAAAAACCCAATAAATAAATAATTAAAAAATAAAATGTTTAAAATGTCCCTGGAAATAATTTTTCATTGAATGTATTGTAACACATAGTTAAAATATTTCTGTCATGAAATTGTTATGCATTTTAAATTTAAATTTGTAAAACACTAGAAATATTTTATCTTACTTATTTTAGACTTTTATGCTTTTAATTTTTAGCACCTGAAATTATAAATTTGTAAAACTTAAGACTAAAACCTAATCCATGTATGTCACTTACCTTGTTACATTTTTAGAAAAAAAAAGAAAAACATTAACTGATAGGATTTTCCAGTTCAGGAAACCTACTAAAATTACATTTTTTATTATTTTATATTATTCTTAATGCCAGGTTTAGGCCGGTTTTCTTTCATAATATCTGTCTTTTAGACTGTGTGCTGTTATTACATATTGGTGGAGGGGGATCTTGTTTTATTGTAAATGTTTCATACTCTATTAAAACTTATTTCAAACTCTGTAAAAATCCAAATGGGTTGAATTTACATCATACATTAAATAATATAACCCATGTAGGTGGAATCCACACAGAGTATGATAAGGATTCTTGGGCTCTCTGCAACCTTACCCAACTACCTCGATGTTGCTACATTTTTACACGTTAATCCCTGTATTGGACTTTTCTACTTTGATGGCCGTTTTCGACCAGTTCCTCTTGGACAGACATTTCTGGGGGTTAAAAGTGCAAATAAGGTAAATATTTTTTTTAATAATATACTTTTCTAAAACCGTTTTTGTGGATTTATTGTTTAATGCTTGTTTGGGATTTCTCCAAAGGACCTAATCTGTAGGATTACAAATTGAACGTTTTAGACAAAATCAAGCACATTTCTTTAACTATATGTACTTAAAAAAAAACTCCTTCCAAAAGTTGCTTATAGTTTGCATTGCTATTATCAATGTATATTTTGTATTCTTGGCTAAGAATACAAGTTACATATAAGGTTCTAAGTTTCAAAAAGTTATTTTGATATGATTGAAGAATGGTATGAAATAATAAAAGGCTCTCATTAAACCAGTAATATACATTTTGATATGATATTCATCTAAAATAATACATTTTATGCAATTGAAAAATAATTCCTAGTAGCAACTATTAATGGAGGTGTTCTATTTCACTTGTAATATTTTATAATTACCATGTTAATTATATATATGTGGCATTTATGAAATTCTTTATAATGCTTTTAAAAGTTTGTTTATAGTATTACTATGTACCATTTACACTATTAGGGTGCTTATTTTAGACTTTTATAATATTGTGAAAGAATATTGTACTTTGCTCAGAATTTATGAATTTAATATTCTGTTTAATGACACCTTTTTCTCTGTAGAAGAAATAGGTTTAAAAGAAGATCCAAACGCCTTATTGACCTCTTCATAAAAGAAAATAAGATGGAATCATGTGTTGTTATGTCAGCCTTGGTCTTTAATGTATTACATTACTTGTCTATAAAGAATTTTATTAGTAAAGTAGGGTCATTTTACCTTACACTATTACAAATAAAATACTCAGCTAAAAAATACCAGAAGTGACTCATACAACAGTGTCTATGCTCCATCTACATTGCATCAAAGTAAGGTATCTTTGGAGTTGTGGGGAGCCATTTCAGACTAATGGACAAAAGGATAGTTCATGATATGATAATAGTCATGCTGTACATATTTTATCATTAACTTGTTTCAAGTGCTTTTCAGTATCACTTGCTTGTTTTTTCAGTCACTTAATATATATTTGATTATTTAGTATATCTTAACGTATCATTAGGACAGATGTAGAGCTGTTTTTTTTATAGCTTTAGATTGTTCTTTCAGCTTTATAATTTAAATGGTAGCAGATGGTTATCACCGAAAGATACAGAGAATAAAAATTTTTCAGATGCTTTTCACCCATTTGAAATTTTTTTTTTAAATTCTGTCATACAAAGTGGTAAATCACTTAAAGCTAATTAAATTAGAAGTATTTGCACCACAGTATGTTAACATTGTAATCATAAAAGGAATGGCATCAGGTGATTAAACCATCATAATTATTTTGTAAGTTTAGAAGTTTGGCAATATTAGAAAAACACTTTTACGTATCTTACTGTAAATAGTAAATTAATTATATGCATTAATTATAGATACAGATTTTTCTGTCTTACTAAAATGAATTATTTTTACACTCAGTGAAATATACAGTTGGTAACCATTAAGCATTTCCCCAGGGTGTTGTTTAATATATTTACTAACCAGTTATTAATTTGTCATCTTATATGAAAGGAAATCCTTGTAGGTTTCTCAGAGTTTCATTCAGAAACACATGATGTGATTCAGTTATCATGGAAGAACTTAGGAGGATGGTGTGCCTGACACCTCTAATTTGAAATAATGGCTTTGGCTGGAACTCAACTCAAACTACACTGAAAAAATTATTGCGAGCTGAAGTTATTTTGGAATCATTAATGGGGAGTAAATTATCTTCTGATTATCTCATTTTAGTTAACACAAATCATAAGAGTAACAGAATGATAAAACGTTTACTTTATTAAAGCAAATAGTCTAAATCATAGTCATTTCAGATGTATATGACATTTTCATCCCTCCCACACTCTTAATAAATGTTGAATAGAGAGATACAGGCTGAATCACATGCCTGCTCCTTTGGATTAACCGTCTTACGTTTTCGGTTGGAAGTTTTCCTCATCATTAATAGGGAAAATGGGACCCTCATGAATTTGATACTAAATTTTCAATTAATCTGAAAAATGTTTCTGTAGAAAAATGTCTACCCTCCTCCATATATATTACAGAAAGAGTACGTTTCCTTTGATTTCAGCTTTGTATACCATGGCATTCTAGTAGCAGTGTTCTGGTGATTTTGAGAATTCCATAAGAAAGCTCTATGGTTTATAGAATGAAATAGAAGAAAAACAGCCTGAAGAGCAGGCTTTCCTGGGAAAAGCCGAGAAAAGAACTTTAAAATTATTCTAAAATATCTACAACTAGTATATTATCCTTAAAATTGTCTTTAAAAAACTTGGCACACTTAGAAAGTTAGTACTCTGAAAGTATTGTATGAGGTATTTTATTTGTACTTTTAAACCATATTGTGTTTGTTTCTTATTAGGTTGTTACATGCTAGGTATTTATATTGCATTTGTTGCTTCTGCATTCTACTTAATCTGAAAGGGAAAAAAATGCCTTAAAATCTATAGTTTTGTTGGTAGTTAGAAAGTTTATAATAGCTTCATCTTATATTATTTGTGTTTTAAAAACCTTAAGGTACAACAATTGAATAACATGGATGAAGTATGCTATGAAAGTGTTTTGAAGCAAGTAAAGGCTGGACACCAGGTACACTTACTTTCTTTTATCCTGTTTTTAGAGGATACTTAATGGTTAAAATTATTTTTTATGCTTTTAAAAATTTTCTTTAATTCTGAGATAATGACTATGAATTTTTAGTTAATATTATTTTTTAGTTCAGTGCTTAGCCATGTAAGTCATAAAATATTCATAGATAATATTATCATCCCAATATTTATTCAGTACATAAGACAGAGAAGAATGTCATCCTTTATTCAGTAGATAAGACAGAGAAGAATTTCATCCTTTACACTTCTGGTTTTTTGTTTTTTCTTTTTAATCTTTTTAAAAAGCACCAATCTTCTTTCATACCTCAAAAATTTTAATTTCTATTTTTTACATAATGTAAAAATCTGAAATGTTATATTATTTACTGTTTTCACAAAGTAGTATCAACTGAAATATATATAATAAAGTTTTATATTGTTTTATTGTGCTTGGAAGTTAAGCAGTTTTACTTTTAAACTCCATTGTTCAAAATGCTCCATTCAAGATTGTTAAAGAAAAAGTGGAATGATAATAATTGCTTACATAAAACTTAATCATTGCCCAATTGTATATGGGTCTTTGGATCATTTTATTTTATTACAGAATTTTTTTCTGTTATTAACCTTTCGTGGCACATAAAATTAAATAATTTCTGATCCTTTGGTTTTTAAATTTGTTTAAGAGCAGTGAAATCCTTTTTTTCCAGACGAAATCTTGTTTCAGGCCCCAGTATATAAACAGCTCAAAGATGAATTAAACTTGAAGACATGGAACACTGCCCACTTTGATGCATTTTGCCCCTCCAAGAAATAGTTTTAAAATCAGGTTTCTAACTAATCTCAAGAGAATGTCCTTATGTTTAAGAATAACTTTTAGGTGGGCGCCTGGGTGGCTCAGTAGTTAAGCCTCTGCCTTTGGCTCAGGTCATGATCCCAGAGTCCTGGGATCGAGTCCCACATTGGGCTCCCTGCTCTGCAGGAAGCCTGCTTCTCCCTCTCCCACTCCCCCTGCTTGTGTTCCCTCTTTTGCTGTCTCTCTCTGTCAAATAAATAAATTAAAAATTAAAAAAAAAATAACTTTTAGGGAAAAGAAATCATGATTAAATTATATAATATTAGTGACTTACCTTAACAATTAGGAAATGTCTGAAACTGCTGAAGTTATATTTCTTTTCACTGAATTCTCTCACCAGCCAATGAGGCAGGTACTGTTTTCATCATTTGACAGATGAAGAAAACAAGGTGCTATACAAAATAAAGTAATATGTTTCCATCATTTTACTAGTGCAGTTGTAAATTCAGTCCACGTGAGTGTGGAGTCTCCACTAACCATTGTGTCATTATCACTTCATGTGCATTTATTTTATATCAGTGTATTTTTTTTGATCTTCATTAAGAAACTGCTTTATGAATTGCATTATTTATTATGTACAAATAAAGTAATGGTAAAGACCAATATTCTTTCTTTAATCAAAAGCATTACCAAACACCAACTACTTATTCTTAGTCAGGAGCCAGGAAACTTTTTGTAATGAGCCACATAGTAAATAATTTCAGCTTTACAGGCCTTATGTTCTTTTTTGTAGCTACTTAGTTGTGTTATTGTAGCATGAAAGTCGCCATGGACAGTATACGAACAATTAGGCACAGCTGTGTTTAAATAAAACTTTATTTATAAAAACAAGCAGTAACTGCATGTGGCTTGTTTTCCAACCTCTGTTCTAGATTGCTTCACAAGGTTTAGTTGTAGTAGATGTCTAATAATCCTAAAATGTTATCTAGAGAAACTTTTGACAGCATTTCAGTGAAAATCCTAAAAGGAAGAAATATCCTGTATAGCCACCAATATTTGTACCTTCTTTGTAAACAAACAAGATAAATTCGGTATAATTAGGTAGTATTACTGCCATGGACATTTATTTCTAACTCTTATATTACAGAAAATTTAAACTGTATTATTAGCTAAGGAATGTAGCTGTAGAATCCATAAAATCTATTTGTATACACTGTATTAAAAATGTTAAATAAATTTTTAAATGTTTTCTCCATTAAATTTTTTAAAAACTAGATGTTCTTTTTTAGAGCAATTTTGGGTTCACAGTGAAATTGAATGGAAAGTAGAGAGAGTTCTCATACAACACCTGCCCCCACATATGCACAGCTTCCTTCACTGTCAACATTCTGCACAAGAGTGGTACATTTATTTCAATCAATGAACCTACATTGACATGTTAATGTCACCTAAAGTCCATAGTTTATCTTAAGGTTCACTCTTGGTGTTCATTCTGTAGGTTTGGACAAATGTATAATGACATACATTGACCATCATAGTGTCACACAGAAAAATTTCATTGCCCTAAAAGTCCTCTGTGTTCAGCCTATTCATCATTCCTTCCCATGTACCCCTGGAAGCCATTGACCTTTTAAGTCTTTTTAGTCTCTCTGTAGTTTTGCCTTTTCCAGAATGTCATACATTTTGTAGTCTTTTCACATTGGCTTTTTTCACAGTATCTATTTGAGGTTTTAAATGTCTTTTCATGACTTGATAGCTTATTCTTTTTAGTACTGAATAATACTCCAATGTCTGGATATACTACTGTTTATTTATTTACATACTGAATGATATCTTGATTGCTGCCAGGTTTTGGCACTTATGAATAAAGCTGCCATAAACATCTGTGTACAAGTTTTGTGTGGACTTAGGTTTACAGCTTCTTTGGATAAATACCAAGGAGTGTGATTGCTGGTGAGAGTATGTTGAATTTTGTAAGAAACTGCCATACTGTCTTCCAAAGTTGTATAGCATTTTGCATCCCCACCGTCAGTGAATACGAATTCCTGTTGCTCCATAGCCTCACTAGCGTTTGGTGATGTCAGTACTTTGGCCATTCTAAGAGGTGCGTAGTGGTATCTTGTTTTAATTTGCATTTCTCTAATGACAGATGATGTTGAACGTATTTTATATGCTTATTTTCCATCTCTCTGTATTTGGTGAAGTGTCTTTTTAGGTCTTTGGCCATTTTAAAATCAGGTTGTTCATTTTCTTGTTGAGTTTTAAGAGTTCTTTGTATACTTTGGATAAAAGTCATTTATCAGATGTGTCTTTTGCAAGTATTCTCTCCCAGTCTGTGACTTATCTTCTCATTTTCTCATCGGTGTCTTTTACAGAGCAGTTTTTAATTTTAGTAGAATCCAGCTCATCAATTATGTCATGGATGATGCCTTTGGTGTTGTATCTAAAAAGGTCATCACCACACCTAAAGATTTTCACCTAGGTTATCACCTAGGAATTTTATAGTTTCATGTTTACATTTAGACCTATGACTGGTTTTCAGTTAAATTTTGGGAAGGGTATAAGGTCCGTGTCTGGATTTATTTATTTTTGTATGTGGAAGTCCAGTTGTTGCAGCACCATTTGTTGAAAAGACTATCTTTGCTCCATTTTGTCACCTTTGCTCATTTCTCAAAGATCAGTGAGTTATATTTATGGCTTATTTCTGAATTTCCTATTCTTTTCCATTTGTTTGGCTATTCTTTAGCCTATACTAAAGTGTTTTGATTACTGTATCTATATTGTGAAGTCAGGTAGTATTATTCCTCCAACTTTGTCCTTTAGCATTGTGTTGGCTCTTCTGGGTCTCCATTTAAGTATGAACTGTGAGCAAACATTCTTTTTTCCATAATTTTTCATCATGATAGGATTTCTTCTGTCACAGGAGAATTTTTTTCTAATCTATGATAAATTTCATTATAAATGCAAACCCTTAACATTTTTTATCTCTTTTTAAATAATGGAAATTAAACTGTAAATACTATGTATGGAACATATAAATAGATAAATTATATTTTGACTGTAGTCAGGAAAACACTTACTACTCCTTTTGTAATTGAATAGCCTTGAAAAGGTTATAAAAATATTTAAAACACCACTGGTAGGAATGTTAGTGTTGCTTCTAGAATTAAAAAAAAAATAAAACAATCATTTTTCTTCCAATTGCAGTTAGCACTCAGTGACCAGATAAGTAGATACTTGTTTCATTACTTTGGAACACAAGATTGCTTCTAATAGAAATAAATCACTTTTTTTAGAATAAAAAAAGGAGTTTTTGTGAATTCTTTCTTGGTAGGACTGATAAATACATATATCCATGTATAAACATATACATAAATGTACATAGTTGTAAATGCTAATAAAAGTAAATGGATTAATAATACCATTACTGCCAGTCCTGTAACTGTTTGGGGGCCTTAGGAACTACAGGTCACTCATCTTTCTAACATTATTTGCCTTTATCATACTATTTATAATTGTTCTTTAAGTATATTTGTTATATTAGCCCCACCTTTTTTCATTAAATTACAAAATCTTACATTATAAAATATTTCTTTAAAAAATAAAATGCACCCTTATTCCTAAATGTTGGAAAGAGTAGTAGTTGTATCTTCTATCGTAAGTAAAAATCCAAGTAAATGTTGTTACTTAAAGAATCCTAGGAAGATTATTTCCTCTTCCTCTTCTAGCATAGTTCTTTCACTGTTTCAGAGGCTAACATGTCCCCGTAGGAATCATGCATGATTCATAAAGTGTGCTGGCTGGGGGTGTTTGGTCAATAGAGATGAGATCTTAATGCCATTCCTTTCTTTCTTAGTGTGAAACTGTTTAGTGCATTACTTTTCAAAAAGAAAGCTGCCAGAGGGCGGGCCCTTGCAGTTATAAATTCAGAAAGGCCAAGTTGGGATGGAGGGCTGGGTTCACAGCCCTGGCTTTCTGTTTAGGAAGGTCAGACTTGGATGGGATACTGCAGGGGAGGTTTCATGCTGCTCTAGGGCATGAGGACCTAGGAATAGAGAGTGAGCAAAGTTGAGGCAGGAGTTGGGTACAAGCATGACCTCCCCACCTTTTGTGTGCATGTCATGGCATCCACACTTGCTAGCCTTTTACGGATGCATGACCTCCAAGCTCTCTTCCCCTGCACTCCTGTCTGACTAAAAATGCATGTG